TTTATTATATATATATATATATATATATATATATATATATATATAATTTTTTATTACATTATGTAACATATATATAACATATACATAACATATACATATATATTATATAATGATAATAAAAAATTTTCACATTACAATTATTATAATATTATTAATATTATTAATATTATATATTAATTAACTAAGAATATTTTGTAGTATTTTTTTTATGATACTTTTATGATTACTAAAAATTGAATATTATTGAAAATAAAATATAGAACAAATATAAAATAAAATATATAAAAAATAGTATTTCAATGAAAAAAACATATATGTGCAAATATATTTTATATTGTATATGTATACATATAATTATAAAACACCATTTAATTTTGATCAAAAAATTGAAAAAAATATTGTATAATAATTTATCTAAATTTAGAGAGTTTTTAGAAATTGAAGGCTCTAATTTTACAAAATTTTGAAAAATAAGAATGAAAATTTAAAGATGATTTATGTTTTCAAATATTTTAAATGATTTTACATATATTAAAATCATTACACATATATATTATATATATAATATATGTATATAAATATAATTATATTTACCTGTCATATAATTATCTGGAATTTTAATATTACTTTTTATATCTATATTTTTATTTTCTTTTTTTAAATCAGTATTCATATATACATCAGAATCTTCCATTTTCTGATTTTTTCGTTTTAATTTCTTTCTAGTTTGTTTAACTGAAGCCTTTTTTAATTGAATTTTACATTTTTTTTGTTTTATAATATCTTGAGGTTCTTCAGTTTCATGTTTTTGATTATCATTTTTATTTTCTTCGATAAAATAATTATGTGAAACATTAGAGGTGTCATGGATATAATTTGATAAGTGACATTCAACAATTCCTTCATTAACTTCTTCCTTTGGAAATGTAATTGTTTTATCAATATAGTTTATATTTGATTCTAAGGGTTGTGGTTCAACTTTAGGATCAAGAAGTAATTGTCTTAAAGATATTTGTGCTTGATTAGTTTTTTCAAAAAATTCATTACACTGATTCAATAAAATACAACAATCTATACAAACTGTAAGTGGTAATCCATCATTTGTTAGTACCTGCAAATAATATTTTATTTTAAATATTAATATATACTATATTTAAATATACATTCAAATAATTACTTTAATAATTTTAAAATATAGAAAAAAAGAAGATATATTTTATTAATATAAATATATAAATAAAAAAAACTCAATAAATTTATTATATTGAAAAGAAAAAAAAAATAATTAAAAAAGAGAAATTATTTTTACCTGAATTTGTAAACATTTAGCAATTTTTGCTTCTATGGCTAATTTTTGTCCTTCTGCTTCATAAATTCCAATAAAATTCTCTTTGGTTTCGGCACAGAGCCGGCAAAGCTCCGACTCTGTCATGATTCACAAATAAAATTCGAAAACAAGTTTTACAACAAAATACATTGTCAAAAAGCGATAAATGAAATTACATTATCTCACATTTATATTATAATATTTAATAAATTGAAAATATTGAATGCTCAGAAGAATAGTGGACATATTGTTTCTTTCCACAAGATAAACAATTTTTTAATACACATATAAGGTTTATAAATATTTGCTTATATTTAGTATATTTATGGATAATAATAACAAATTTTTAACAAATAATTGAACTAATAACAAATAATTCATTACATTATATTCGAATGAAAGTTCACAATTATTTCATTATATTTCTTGAAAAAAGTATATATATTTGTATATATATAAGCATGTTTGTACTAGGGATTTTAAGATTATACCATGCGTAAAATTCAAATTACTAGACTCTGATGTATATCTTCTGTTTTATAAATTTTAAAATTCACAGCATTTTTTAAATTAAATTAACAATTAAAATATAATATGTTTTATATTATACAATAAATGTATACATTGAAAGTTATATAAAAGAATTTAAAAAATTTTTTTTATTAAATAAAGACAATGTTAAAAAGACATCTTTTAGTTTCAATATTAAAATAATAATAAAACACTTTTTATGAAATATATTAAAAACTATTTTGTATTGTATTTAAATCATTATCCTGTTATAAATATTTTAAATATTTTATAAAATGCTTCTTTAATAATCACATAGAGTACATGTCTTATTGTCAAAAAAAGTCTTTTAAGTTTGAATGCTTAAAGTCTGATGTACAAAAAATGCAAGCTTAATGATTATTATTATTAATAATGTTATTATTACTATTAAATAATAACTAATTTTATTATTATTATAAATAATCATTATTAATGAATATTTATGAAAAATTTAAGTGCACAAAAAAATACAGAATATAAATACATGATATACAAAAAAATAAAAAAAATTCAAAATATAATACACATGATATATGAGGAAGAAAAGATTATTTAAACTTCGTTTTTGTATAAAATCAATATCTAATAATTATTATTAATTCTATAAATAACTATCATGAATTATATCATATAAATAGATAAATTTTTTCTTGACAAAGAATTTTATTATAATAATATTATAATCAATATTTACAATTTCATCTAAACTATCAATTGTATTTAAAACTTTATATATACTAATATATATTATGCAAAATATCCTGTAATTGATGGTACATTTTGAAAAAAGTATAGTATAAAAAATATAGTATAAAAAAAATAATTTAACAAAATGAAATTTTTCCATATTTCAATTTTTTTATTTTCAAAAAAATTATGTATAAACATAATTTATATTCTTATATATTAAATAGTCATGATTATAATAATAATAATTATTATTATGTAATATTATAATATAATATAATCTTTTTATGATATATATATATATATATATATATAGGTGTACTTTTATTGAAATTGAATTATTAAATTAATATTTTATTTCATAAGCACTTTTTCATTTCTTAAGGAAAAAAAAATCATTTACATTTATAAAATTATATTAATAATAAATTAATATTAATAATAATCGAAAAATATTTATATATAGTTGACATTTATATATAAAATACATATATATTATATATATTTATTTGTTTTAAAAACTTCTAATATGTATATATATGTATATGTATATGTATGTATATATATTTACATTATGTATATAATAATGTTTAACATTATTTATATATATAAATAAATACAATTTATATATAAAAAATTTATAATTTCCTTGATTTATATTTTATAAAGATTTAAGTTATTATTAAATTATATATTAATTTTTAATTTGTAAAGATTTAAATGTTAATAATATAGCAATAATATAAAATAATTCATATTACATAAAATTATATGTACTCAATCAAAAAAATATTTAATCAAATAATTAATGTTATATTTTTTAAGATAACGATATTTACAATATACTTCTAATATATACTTATAATATAAAATAATATAAATAAAAAATATAGATTGAAAAATAAAATATTATTTTTATTTTAAAATATTTTCTGTTTTTTTTTATTAAATCATTAATAAAAAATAATTATTCTTGCAACGTTGATTTAATATAATATACTACAATGCTAATATAATATAATTATAAAGAAATCAATCTCATAACAATTATGTTTTATTATTTAATAGTATCTATGTATTTTTTTTTATAAAATAATTATAAAAAATACAATAAAAGAGAAAATTGTTTAAAGCTCAGTAATTATTATTTTAAATAAAAATTGTTTCAAATAAAAAATAAAAATTTTTATTTTCTGTTATAATTTTTATAAAATTGTGAAAATAATAGATATAATAATTTGTCTTTTAAAAAGACATTTTTAAGTAATATATTTCATTATTTAACGATTGTGAATATGAAATTTATTAAATATGTTTATTTATATTTAATATATATCTAAAAAAAAATACAAAATTTATTTCTGCTTAAATTATTTATTGTATATACAATAAAAATCGATTTATCCAATCGATATAGTATGTTTTTTGGGTTTTCAGGTCACCTACTTACATTACCTTTTAAAATTATTTTCTAACGGTACCTATAATGTTCTTCATTATTAAGATAAAGATATTTTAAAAATATTAGTACATAAAAAATAAACAAAGAATTCTCTTATTGCAATTTAGATAAATATTTTGAAACTTAAGTATATGTAGATAACTTATAATATTTGCACAATACATTTTCTATTTAGTTTATAATTAAAAAAAAATTTTATTAATTTCCTAACAGAAAATATAAAAAAAATTATGTAATAATGGATCTTTTTTCAAATTTTTTCTATTAAATTATTTTTGTAATAAAAAATAAATTATTTATATAATCAATTTAATTAATACTGTAATTATTAATATATTTATAATGCTTACAGAAAAAACGATTACGTATATTTCATTATCTATCTTTTAATAATCCCCGCAAAAATATAAAGCCGTTAATGAAGAGTATATGTATTTGTATAAACAGAAAGGAAGATTTCTATATTATTCGAAATTAATTAATTTGTTTTGTATGAATATAATGAAAGTATATATTATTATTGTGTTAATAAATTATCAAATCATTTATAATTATCATCAATATCATTTATCATCAATATCATGTATCAAAATTGTTATATACTATTTTGTAGAAATTAATTATTATAATATTTGTATCTTTATTAAAATAATATTTTAAAAACTTCTTTTTAGATGAAGGTATTAATATACAAAAATATCAATATAAGAGTATAGTATACAAAATTGTTTAAATACTTCTCGAAAATACTTCGTATAATCGTAAAAGTATTGACATCATGTCCCCATTGCATGTACTTATATATATGTATATATAGGGGTGCTATTCATGGGAGCATCGCAGTTCTTCGGAGAACGTCTTTAGGTAAGCATCGTTGATTCAATACAACGAAAAGGATTTTTTTGGTTTTATATTAATTACAGAAATCCTTAAAAGAAAATTAATTTTTTTAAATTATTTATTAATTATTTTTACTAATTATTTATTAATAATAAATATTTACAAATTCAGCCATAAACTTCATAATTAAAATAAGTATATATATAATTTTATATATAATATTATATTATATATAATTTTTTAAATATTATATAATTAGTTGAAATATATTTTATTACAATAAAAATATATAAAATTATTGTTTTAATTTTATTTAAAGATTAATTTAAATTTAATTTATTTTAATCTTGTTTTAAAAAATTTATAATAATAAAAATTTTTATTTTTATATATTTATCTTCGCGTATAATTTTTTATCTTCATATTCATTACCACAAAAAATATTAAAATATGTAAAAAAAAAAAGATAAAATTTTCCGTTTAAATTATTTTAAAAAATATCTTTTATTCGATATGTATAATTATAATATATGAAATATAAATAGTACGAAATTACTATAACGTTTTGTTATAGTTATTTTAATTATAAATTTTTATTATTATTAATAAATAATAATTGTAATAATTAAATGTAAATAATAATTTCAAAAATACTTTAGGAATAAGAATTGTTAGCGCTTAAACTTATTATATTTTCAAAAAATTAATATTATGCATTCCTTTATAAAATATAATATATTTTATTTCGAATAAATTTTTTTTTAATATCTTATTTATCGATCTATTATATATTGATTTATTAACAGATATAATATTAAAATCGCCACTATAAAAAATTATTAGATTTTAGAATTAGAAAAAAATATTAAATAAATTTATTTTTTTCATTATTGTAAAGTGACTATAATTTACAAATAAGGATGAACTTTATTTCTGAAGAATTATATTTATATTTTATATTATATTATATTATAATATTATATTATATTATATTATAATATATTATATATATGTATTTATTTTATATTTTATATATGTATTTATTTACATAATTAATATTTATATTTTTATTCTAGCTGGAAAAATGATACGATTTGTTATTCTATTTGGTACATTAATTGCTTTATCAACGGCTCAGTTTCAACCTACTAGAAGAATTTTAGAAGCACCAATTCCTGCGCTTTGTGCACAAAGTAAGTAATAAATTATAATTTCACACAAAATAACTTTCATTATATTTATATTTGCTGCAATATTAATAATGAAAGTTTTAAGTTATATTAATTTTTTTATAAATTTGAATTACGATAAATAAAAATAGTTATAATAAAATAATATGATAAAATAATATTTTATAATATTTTTATAATACATAATATATATTAATATATAACTAATATTATAATATATTTTTGTTATAATTAATAATATTATTAAATCAAAAAGAAATACGCGAGAAAGCTCTTCACGTTTATGCTTTTAAAATAAAACTGAAACGAAACAATCAACATTTTGTTATATTTCAATATTGAAATTGATATGTACGTATATTTCTAATTTTATTTTTTTATATTATAAAATTTATTGTAATTTTTTAAATATTCATTCCTTTTTTTAAATTAATTCTTTTTTAATTTGCAATTAAAATTTACATAATTTTATAAATTTATTATATTTTATTTTTTACTTTATTCTTTGAATATTTAATATTGAAAATATATTTATTAATTAATAATTTAAAAAAAAAAGACAAATATAATCAAATTATAGGTATAATAAATATATAAATGTAGGTACATAAATAGTTATACTTATATTTATTACATATTGATTTTTTTATATAAAAGAATTCTTGTTAAAATTTATCAAAACTTTATTATATTTATATCTTTGC